ACAGAATCCCCTTTTATCTTGGCTCAAATATTATTTAGAAGAACGAAACCAAATCGTTCGCTTTGGATCTTGCTACTCTCAACATGTGAATGCAACCAGTCGGGTTATAAAAGAAAGTGTGGTTGGTCCATTACTCTTTCTCCTTTTTACCAATGACATGTGTTCCCTCTTTCAGTATGGTAAACTTTTCCTTTTTGCCGATGACCTGAAAGTAGTTTATTCATTCTCTTCTCCCACAGAAGAAAGCTATATTTTAGGGGTAATCCAAGATAAAATAAACAAGTTATACGAATGGACTGTTTCGTGGAATTTGACACTTAATGTTGACAAAAGTGGATTTATTCACATTGGTCGCCACCTTAACTTAAATCTGACTGTACACACACATACACTCAAACCTCTCAACACTGTTCGTGACCTGGGTTTAAGATATAGCAACAGTCTGAACTTTTCTGTGCACATTATATCTCAAGTATCCAAAGCTAGAAAGCCCATTGGATTGATAATGACAAACTTCAATAATGTCGAATCGAGATTGTTATTATACAGAAAATGTATCTTACCTATTCTTGAATATGGTATTTTAGTTTACGGTAATTGCAGACATAATGACCTGATAAGATTTGAAGGTGTCCAAAGAAAGTTCACCAAAGCTGTTCTGGGGTATTCCGATAACAAAGACTACCACCAAAGATATGAACATCTCAACTTAGAACCTCTTTGGATCAAACGTATCAAATTAAATTTTGTCTTTATCTACCGGCTTATTAACGGTATTTCCTACTCTTTGGTATCCTCCTCTTCATACTCTATGATATCATCCCACAATCTACGCAATAAGGAGAATATTCTGGCAGTTTCAAGAACGCACACAAACTTACGCCAGAATTTTTTCGTTATTCGCTACTCAACCATGTGGAACAGACTGCCAGTGAACCTCCGTTTCAGTGAAAGTACAACCTAGTTCATAGGTCTCCTTGATGAGTTTCTTTCCGAAAGTGGATTATGTCACCTATTGAATATCAATATGTTTAATAATGATTTATGCCAACAAGGTTCGTCATCTATCTAATTAACTGTAAAGCAATGTGTAACCTTTAAAACTTTCAACGTCTATTTTATATTTTTCTTATTTATCTTAATATATAAAGTCTGCTTATGTTCGTATTGATAATTATTACTGTTATTATTATCATTATTGGTCTCTCGACACAAAAGATATTCTTTTCATCTCTTCTATTCCTAAAAACCAAAGTCTGTAATTAAAAACAAATTATCCAGTGCTACACTTAAATAACTTAACTTCTCACATTCATTTTATCGTCAACACATATTTATAACACATAGAAATTGATGTTTGATTATCTTTTGCAATTAATTGTGACTTTCATGGCATCATTCTAAACTAATATTGCACAAATGTTTATACTAATATCAAGGTTAACTCTGAATCGTATTCTTTGTCCATTTTTCATCATTTTGCAGTCATCCTACAGATGAAATGAATGAAAATGTACATGCATGTGGAAATGCACTCGTAACTGAATGAGCAAGGAAAACGTGCATAAAACCATGTAGAAATGCACATATATTCCATGTGATAACGTTTTGCATTATTCTTCGAACCTTGATAACATCCAATCGAAAAAGATGAGATAGAAACCAAATACCTGTAAATTAACCATTGGTTACACAATTTGACTAGAAAGTCGGACAACTTTGGAATGTAAAAGTTGAAATGTATGACCAAGCCTATGCTGAGGATGCGTACCGCTTCCAGGTCATCTCTCAAGTAAGTATCCTATACTGCTAAAGATGCCACAAATATTAAAAGTTTGGTATGTCTTTATAACTGGAGTGAGCCAACACAGCTAATACGGATGGCAAGAATGAAGGACTTCAACGATATATTTGGAAGGCTATCATTATGTTGAGGAACGTTTGGACTAAGCTGACAAACTTCATCGTTCCTTTTATTGTTTTCTACATCCGTCCTGGAAAAGAAACAAGGATACGCAAGTGTATGTCGAAATACTTGCGTAAAAAGACAAAGTGGGCGAGAAAATGGAAAATAAACTCATGTACACGTAATAGCGCAAAAAAAGGATTTTTACAAAATGGTTTTTCTGTCTTTTTAGGAATGTAAATATACAAGCATATCAATATTAGTTTTTTTACATTAGATATAGTACAAAGAAAAATTGAGACGATAAAAAATGTCAACTAATATTTTACCAGCAATAATCATTCAAATGTTCCAGAAATATTACTCTTCTTCCAGAACGTGTTATTTTAAGTTTATTTTTAGATACTGTCGATGTATCGTCGAGTGTGTTGGTTGTTGATTGAGGTATTATAAGTGTCGGGGTCGTGTCGTGCGATTTTAGCGAAAGGAAATCGACGGAGATGGGATATCCTTCTAAATACGCTGCTTTGAGGTGATCGATACTGATGCTATCGTTGGTTCTGTTCTTATCGATTATATAGTTGTCGGTGAAAGCGTTCTACTAACCCGTTTGCTTGTGGATGGTAGGCGGTCGTTTGGAAGCGAGTAATTCCTAATAGTGTGGTCAGACGACGGAAAAGTTCAGATTCGAACAGACGTCCGCGGTCTGTAGTGATGGTTGAAGAGCAGCCAAAGTTTGCTACCCATCGTTCGACGAGGGCATGGACCACTGTTTCAGTGGTGATGTCTTTGAAAGATACCACATTTGGCCATCGAGTAAAACGGTCTACGCAGGTTAAGAGGTAAAAGTATCCATTTGAATCTGGTAAGGGTCCTACCAAATCCAGATGAACATGGTCGAAACGAGCATTGGGAGTTTTAAATGAGCCTAAGGGACATTTATTGTGTCTGATGACCTTAGATTTTTGGCAGCTTACACAGGAGCTTGCCCAATCCCTCACGTCTTTGTTCATGCTAGGACAGCAAAACCGTTCTGCTATAAGTTTGATGGTTGCACGTACACCTGGATGAGAAAGTTTTTGCAACGTATTGAAGACGTTGCGTTGATAACATTTCGGCACGATTGGGCGATCCCTACCTGTAGATGTGTCACAAAGTAAGATCTCATTACCTCTGACCATATGTTTAGTGATCAGTTTAAGGGTTGTTGAGGAAAACTCGTGCTGAAGATCAATGTCTTCTTTCTGAAGCTGGGCGAGTTTAAGAATAACGATGCCTTGGAGACTGTTCAAGGAAGTTATTCGAGACAAGGCGTCTGCGACTACATTGTTTGATCCAGAAATTTGTTGAATGTCTGAAGTAAACTGGGAGATGTAGTCCAGTTGTCGAGACTCTCGTGGTGTGGAGTGGTTAACCCATTGTTGTAAGACTCCTTCGATGCGTCTACTGCGGTACTAACGGGTGCTTGAGTATCCTGATGTGCGAGCATGGTTGCCTTGTGATATGTTCCTTAACTGTGGAGAATGCTTTTCGTACGGTTTACGTACGGATTACTCATTTCCAAGAAACCGGTCGGTTAGTGGTTTCACAAATGACACGCATTTCGCTATGAATCGTCTATAGCAACTTACAAGGCCGTTAAACGTTCGTAATTGCTTAATGGTGGTTGTTTCTGGGTAATCCAGAATGATCGCCACTTTGCTTCTAATAGGTCAAATGCCTTGCGCATCTATAGTGTGTCTTAGGTAATTTAAGAGTCGGTTTCGATTTGGCCTTCCTGAATGTTTACAGTAATATCATGTAATTGCAGTCGTTTGAAAACAAGGTCCAGATGCTGGAGATTCGATTCTCTGTCCGGACTTGCTATTAGGCAGTCATCAACATACTCATATACGAAGATGAGACCTCGGAAAACGTCATCTATGAACCTTTGGAATGTTTGGATATTATTTTTAAGCCAAAAGACATTAGCAAAAATTCATCAAGATCAAAAGAAGTAATGATAACGGTCTTTGAAATGTCGTCAGTAGCCATGGGAATTTGGTTATAAGCTTTAACCTAGTCGATTTTCGAAAAGGCAGTTGTAATTTTCAAAGTGGCTGTCAAATAGTGAATGTGACGCAACGGGTAACGATCGGTAATGGTTTTCGTATTCACTTGTCTATAGTCACCAGTTGGACACCAATCGATGCTGTCCTTTTTAGGTACCATGTGCAACGAAGATGCCAAAGGGCTGTTTGACGGTCGAATGATTCCTAACCCTACCATGTGGTCGAATTTGCTTTTGACCAACCTCAGCTTTTCGGAAGCTATGTTTGATTGGCTACCGATATATCGACGACCGACTGATCTCATCTGGTTAGCGATTGCAGAGGACGTTGAGCACGGTGTTCCCACTAGTGATCTAGTACGGATGAACGACCAAGCGCCTTCGGCTGGGTGAGTCCATTAAGATTAATGTGGTCAGGATCTAATGTTGAAAACTTACAGAGTTATTGGTTTTGGGGATTATTTAGAGCTACAAAAGCATGATTCAGCTCCACCGTGATGGTGATGGTTGAACTAAATCATAGTGACGGTGATGAAAAAATAATCTCAATCTATCAGAACAAACTTATGCGCGATTTCTTAGATGGAATTACGACTCGACTGCTGCCGCACACAATTTTATGGAAAGCTGTTACTGGTTTGTTAGATTCTGACGATGGTTTATTATTAGATCACCTACCGAATTTCGGGTTATGAAAATGCTATGTAGCTGAGGTCAAGAAATGACATGCAGAGAAATCATGGGGTACAGAGATTTTGTGTAGGCACGACAGGGTTCAGTCCTGTCGTAGTTAGTGACGTCCCATTTAGAATGTTTAGGGTCAAGGGAGTTACGTTAAAGGTGAATAAACTAGTAAAATTTAAGGTAGAGAACCATAGATTGTTGCACGAAATTCATTCACTCACACAGCATTTGGGATTTATTGCCGATGCTATCTCTGGATGAAAACTTCAAACTTATTTCCTGATCCTAATCAAAATCTTTCACTCTTTACCCTGATTCTTCTCACTATTTCGATCATTATGTATAGTTGAAAATTCCCAAGACCGCTTTAAGGTCACTCGAAGGTCATTAATGAAGTGTGGTCAAGCATCATAGTAACCTAAAGCTTTGCGTTATTTGTTATTTTGCTGGTTTCACTCAGGTTCACTCACAGTTTCTGAACTTAGTTTTCCTAATGTTTATTTGGCTAGTCTGAAGGTCGTAACAAACCTTTAAAGGGCGTTATTTTGCTCATTCACAAGGTTCTCTGCATATTTCCCGTAATATTCCGGTACATTCATTGACCCATGCACAAAAATCCTAAACGAGCTATTTATGTTAAGCTTCTAGGTTGCGCCCATCCCGGAATCAGGGCCACCACAAAACTGATTACAGAATGTTTCGTTTGGCCCAAAATTAACAGAATAAATACAAATAACATCAAAAACCACTTACAAAATAAGTTTGTCATGCATATCTCCACAGACCTGTCATTATTCTACCGTTCAATTTTCTCTCGAACCTTTGTATCCTAGTATTTTTCCCTCGAATAGAATATCTGACAACTTTTCTGTTTATTTACACAGAACTGTTTTGTTGCATTGCTCGCTGTCAATGTTATAAAAATGGGCGACACGGTAAGTTTTGAGTTTATGTAATTCACTAAATGTTTAGGTTATTTAAATATTTAAAAGACGTATGCCTTTTACCATTCTCGAACATTCGTTTCTAGATATTTTGTCGGTAAAATGTCATGTTTAAGAAGTCAATATGTTTTTTGTCAAAACTAGAAGTCTCCATAGACAGCTTTTCTTTGTAGCTTATTTCACTGATAATGTAACGTAATGCGACTGACCAGTCGTATTTTGAGTTGCGATTGCGAAGTATATACCTTTATTTATTTATTCATTTCAACACATAGATAATGGTACAAAGAGGCACCAAATACATATGCGCCACACAAATCTCATCCGATATGTGTGAGGGCTGTGATACTGCCCGGGTGCCCAAACCGAAGCAGGTGGTTATCTTAGGGGGCCACACCCCGAGCCTTCAACCCAAAGGTCTGATCCACAAGGCAGTGGAGCATCGTAAGGAGATGCAGTCCCATGGAAGCCGGTGACCAACAATTGGTTCATTCGCCATTTGTTCCCGCAGGATACTAGAGCCCATGTGCACCATTGGTTTGGAATCCGGTTAAAGCGCCGGACATTCGCTTTTCGTCCTCTCATTTTCGTAAACAACACCCCCGCCACGAGAAGGCAGTGAGTAGGACTTCCCTGGCAGAGGCTATATACGCGTGGCCGTGTGAGAGTATTTCGAGAGGGAGAGCGGACTCTCCCCACTCTCGGCCGTACCAGGGCATATATATATATATATATATATATAACACATGATACAGATACATCAATATTACACTCCGAAGTCCTCGGGCTTTGTGTAGACGAGACTTAAGTCTGGTAATTAGTCCAATTGTAAGACTTACATTTCACACCAACGTTCATGTGTCAAATTTTAAGACCATAAGTACTTATCAACCACTCGGTAGGCTACAAGTTACTAACGAAAAATATAAGAATGTGCATTCACACAAAAACAGGTAATTTATATAAAATAATTAACCGTGAAATGCTAATGCGGAAAAATAATCATGAATATGTGATTGATTGACATGACAAAAACAGAATAATTCACCAGGTAGCTTAATATTCGCTATTGTCAGTGTCACGTTACTGATCATTTGGGCTCGACAGTGCTTTGTTTGTTAATCCTGATAAATAAATAAAAACTCAGAATTATTTTGGCTTCGTTACAGTCAATCTTCTCTTTCTAACTAGTACAGTGCATTTAAGCATTTGTTCTTAAATTTCTTGAGGTCTTCCAAGGATTTAAAAATATGTATCAAACATTGTACTCCTTTACCATAACATATAGCTACTTGAGTTCTTTCACATTTAATGGTTAAATTTACTACATCTAGTTGCGCAAGTAGTGTCACTGTTGGCCTTCTGGAATCCCATTCTTAGCTCCTACCAGTGTCAGTCTAGTGGTATTATCACCAAGAAAACGAGTTTTCATCTAACGTTTGTTTAAAATCCGTTTGGTTTCTTTCGACGTTTCATCACGTTAAGGAATGACTAGTGTTTTTCTGTACACTTTAATTTCATTATCTCAGTTTAGCAAATAAGTTTATTACCAACCTTGTCGTCAATCTTTGAAGTGTGCACTTCATATTTGTTTAGCGTTGTGTATTTTATACCCGACATTTAGTTTGTTTGCTCCTAACTGTACTTTTGAGTGTCAATAAATAGTACTACTAAGACAAATGTTTCCAAAAGCATATCAAGTCCCAATAGAAGATCAAATATTGCATAATTTTTAGATAGCTTTATATTCAATGATTGTACTTTGGATATTTCTACTCTTTACTTACCCTTATTTCTTATGTCCTGAAATCTTATATCTTTCTGTTTATTATTTAACACCTGAGCTTTCTTACTGCTACCAATATTGTTATTGCTTCTACTACTCTGGGATTCGTCTTGGTAATTTGATCTTGTTGTCCTGATGGGATATGGGAACTTGAAGCGACACATTTATCAGGTTCTGTGTAGGATATGCGTGCTTGACCAATACTTCTATATTTGATTTTTCTACTTAAATCATCAGGTCGGTCCCGCAGCCTATGTCCTTTTTGATGAACTATACACCAAAGAAAATGTTTTTCGCTCCTTAATTACCAGCAACAAAACTCTAAATATTCGTTTACTGGGCAGGTATGTGTACTAGTTTATTGGTTTAATTATGTGTTGTGCTTGCATACATGTTGAGTCTAGGTTGAGTGAAGCGTAAATAAAAAAATTACAAAAATAACCGTCTTAAGTACTTTTATGACTATATATGGCCTATTATTTATGAAGATTCTACTCTTGAACCAGTTATTCCTAGTAACCAAAGTTAAGCATTCAAACTTTACAATTAAATATATCAAGCAACCTGTGTCAAGATTACAGTCAATATCTACGGCTTAAAGTGTTAATAATTTTCATCTTTACTGACTTGTTCTCGTCTATCAACATGTTTCCAGCTAACTAAAACTTCTCCAACCGTAGGCTAGTTATTTCAACATGTTCCCTATCTAGTTCTCTAAGGGAATATGTAGGTTATATGTGTAAATCCCTTATCCTGGTAAGTCAGTCGAATTTTTTGCCTAGATTTGGTAGATTATTATCACACTGTAGCATATCTTAAACACTGTTGAATTGCTTGATTGCTGAATGTGCGGACAGGAGTTTGTGTTTCGTAGCTCAGTGTGATAATTATTTAAAAGTTAATATTTGCCTTCTATTTAGAAGTCTGTTTAGATTGTAGGTACGTTGAACTTTTGAATGAAAGCTTGATTTCTCATTTTTCCACTTTTTTACAAATCCTTTATTTATTTCATATATGGCATACAGATTTTCTGCATTCAAAGCTGATAGCAATCTGGTTGAACTATTGTCCCCATTTCAGGGTGGTGCTATTCCTTGCGTTATCGTCAATGTAAAATATCTAACTGAAAACCAGAAACAATGTTTTTTAAATCAGACAGCTAATGAACGCTTGATACAATTTATTGGGGAGTTAAGTATATCAGATGATAGAAAACACTATCACCTTACAGCGTTTTCATTTACCTTTATGGATGGTGTGAGTCTGGATTTATATAGAACTGTAACAAAGATAACTAGAAGTTATATTGCCTACTTACCGTCTTTGTGATTTATTTTGAAGCTTTTTTGTGTATATACTGCAGTTATTCCTGTTTTTCCTATGTGGTAATTCAATGATTTGTTGAAACAATAAATAGATTGTGAGTAAAAAATTCTGTCATTTTTCTACATATTTATTTGTGATTGTATTCGGAAATCCTCAGATTGATCATATGATTTTAAGAGTAAATGTAAAATAACGCGAACTGGTTGGTTTTCGAGTACAGATATCTCACTGAAAATTTCTTATAAAGTTCAATTGTACTAAACGAGATACTTTTGAGTACATATGGATTTACTCTTTATCTTACTTTAGGTCTTGAGTTCCAAAAATATTTTTAACTTTCCATACCAATAACTCATCATTTCTTTTCGAATCATATTATCCATCTAATTTAATCTATCTAATACCACCGACACTACTACTACAGCTGTTTATTTGTCTCGGTAATTTTATGTCGCTGTGATGTAGTGTGACAACTGGAACTACTGCACACTTTTGCCAGGTTTCACGTTGATCATGACTGACTGCTTAAAGGAGGTGGACTTACTAAATTATTGGACCATCAGTATATGTGTAACTAATTTTCTTGATGTTGAGCCGTTGTTAGTCACTTGTGATGTGAGATACCAGTCTTTCAACCAAAAGACGATTATACCACACAGCAGTTCACTCGGTTGTACTTTATGGTTGCAAAACGCATCCGTTAAGAATATGTGGTATTCTCATGTAAAGGCAAATCGATTGATGGGGCAGTGAATCTTTATTAAGCAAGGTAGTTGGGTCATGTGTCACGTATCCCTGAACACCGCCTACCTTGATACTTGATGATGATTAGTGTATGAGTAGACTGGGATAAAAATAGGTGTGGGCAAACTCAGAGGTGTCACCAGTCTGTGAAGTTATTAACAATTGGACTAAACCATATTAATAGGTGTAGACTACCTGGTTGGTGTCCGCGAGATTATCGTAACTAATGGATGCAGATTTTGGGTAACATAACAGAGTATCGCTCGCAACGGTGGAATCGCATTTACTCCCAGTCTTACTCTAGACCTTCAGTTTCGGGATCTCACATATTTTGTTTTTCCATACCGAGTCTTCTGCTAATTTCAGACCTGGTCGTGACTGCATCGATCACATATTCACCATTCGTCAAGTTCTTGAACACAGGCATACTTATCGGCGTCCGACAATGGTGGTCTTTCTTGACTTATAAGCAGCATTTGACTCGGTAGACCGCGAGATTCTGTGGCAGTGTCTGTCATTGAAAGGCGTATCCCAGAAGTACATAAACCTTGTAAAAGCTCTTTACTCGAAAACTACTAGTCGAGTCAGAGCTTATGGCGAACTGTCATCTACTTTTGCAACATTAAGTGGTGTCCCTCAAGACTGTCCACTTTCTCCATTTCTGTTTAACTTCATCATAGACCTACTGATGGAAATAACATTCTCGTCGATTGAATTCTCGGGTATTGATCTCCTTCCAGGAGGTCCACTTATCGACTTAGAATACGCAGATGACATAGTCCTGTTTGGTGAAGACGCTGATAAAATGCTGAGTCTTTTGGTAGCACTAAGCTACAATGCCAGAATGTTTGGAATGCGCTTCTCTCCCTCTAAATGCAAGTTGTTGCTTCAGGATTGGTCTGCGTCAACACCTGAACTAAGGATAAGGAGTGAAATAGTCGAACGCATTGACAACTTCACTTATCTTGGAAGTCTGATCAGCCCTAATGGGCTGGTGTCTGACGAAATATCAGCACGGATTCAGAAAGCTCATTTGGCTTTTGCCATCTTGCGCTACCTATGGCGAAGGCGACATATCCGTCTACCAATTAATGACGAGTATACTGCACGTTCTGTTCTACTTTACGGCTGCGAAACGTGGCCACCAAAAGTAGAAGACACTCTAGTATTTGACCACAGATGTCTTAGAAATATGGCTCACATCTGCTGGGATCATCGGGTAAGTAATAGTGAGGTTAGACGCAAGGTATTAGGGAATGATGGTATATCAGTTGATGAGGTTGTAAATCTTCATCAACTGAGATGGTTGGGCTACGTGCCATATATGCCTGAATACCGATTACCACGACGCGCAATGTGTTGGGGATGGTTGAAAGAATGTTAGGGGTGGCCGAACCAAAACGTGGCATCAGTCCTCGAAGTCACCAACTACTTATGTGAGCCATGTTGATAGATGCTGACTACTTGGTTGGAGTTCGTGTGACTATGGTAACCAATGGTTGGAGACTCTGGGTGATATGGCTCGGAATCGATCACAATGGCGTAGGTGTATACACTCTTTGTCTTCCCTTAAACCGTGAGATTGAAATTGCTTTATATCTTTCTTTATACGAACTAATTCTTTCTTTCTGTACTATATCCTTATTGCAATCTTTCTTTTATATATTTCCACCTCTGAATTATCTAATTTTATGAATCCGGCTTCCATCTTGTTGTGTTAATGATGTATGGCAACTTGGACCGATGCATATATGTGCCTGGTCCTACGTTGTAGCTGACTGACTGAGTCTTCTATTAATACTGGGACTGCTACTTTGAAATTTTACCTCACCCTTTTAATGTGGTGTGGCAGTTTCAACCGATATACGCAGCAGGTTCTCTATATACGATGTTGATGAACATTATTGGGTTAACATTTTGTGTTTCATGTGTTGATTATTGTTCTATATTAATAAATTTCACTCAATAAGAGTACATGATGACTAGGAAACTTTAATTGTAAAATATGTATTATGTTTTCAGTAAAAATAAACTCTGGAGGGAAACCCATCTATTCGCTGTAGGACTTTTACGTGCCTGTAGAAGTGTTACGGTACTCATAATCCAGTTCAGTAATAAAAAAGTATGTCTATGTTTTCTATGCATGTTTTGAAAAAAATCAGAAGTAATTGTTGCACTAACAGTTCAATCAATAATCTATTCGTTTGAGAGATGTTCAATAAATACCCGCTAGTTAGAATATATTTAATATCGGCTAATTAACATTGATTATAATTCTTATCAAATATTACTTATTCACACTTAGTTATTTTCATTGTCTTGATATTTGCCCTTCGACAGTCTGATATAAATCTCCATTGGCTAAGTTGGCTAAGGCATCTTAAATCGCCTCCTACTTGGGTTCTCCTTGTTCAATAACTTAAGAATAAGTTAGAAAGTTAGTTATGACCAGACCAATATGTAAAGTAACTGACTGTTGGTCTCAAACAAAACAAGTATAAGTTAAACTATATGATATGGTTAAAAATTAGTCGCACCTGTACAGATGACCATCATTTTTTACTTTTCAAGAAAAAACAAAAATATAGTGTTTCCAAGTGATCCGCTACTCATTAAAGTAATTTGGTATCATAAGTTTGATATCGATGCTTAAACTTAACCGTAAGATTGGTTGGCTATACGGAAATATTGATACAATGCGGTGTGCTTTCCGTGTTTGAAAAGTACCTACCTTAGCATTAGGCGATAAAAGCTTGTGTACATTTCTTGTGCGCCTATGTGAACAAACATTAGGTTAGAACGAATGAGTCCTATTGATTACCTTCCTAAATTGATTAGTTCATTAAATTGTCTGTCTGTGATAATCGTGATGTCTTCTATTTCATTTCAACAAATCAGTAAAAATTAGTTGTATAAAGTCTTGGTTCGTGTAATACTTATCGTCATCATACATTTTATAGAAAAGCATTTAAATATATCATGTTTGTTTGTTGTGTCTGTTATTATAAGTTTAGGAAAATAGACTATCTGTTTATGATATGGTTAGCCATTTTAAGATGTTAGAGATTTATTATTTAAAATAAATTGCATAAACTTCTGAGTTAAAAATCCACTATTATCTTAAATAAGAACAGCATGTGTAAGCGAACGATATCGTTTTTAATCAGATTATCAAGTCTTACTATAGTATGCACAAATATTTATATGAATATATGGAAAATATCGAGCGATTCAATACAATTTATGGGTCAGTCCCAACAATGAAATATTGTAATAGGTTGGAAAGACAAATTAATAGTAAAACGGTAAGTATACTAGTTATATTAGTTAATATCTTAACATAGCAGGTAGAGTGAAGCTTGGATAGATAAATATTGGGTGATACACAAATTACTGATGTACGTATTCATAATCATCACTAATTATTAGCACTGCCATCCAAGCCTCTTTATAGTAACTAGATTACCCTGATCGGTAACTTTTTTACTTATCTGTATCTGCGAGGAGAGATTTATATTATCCTCCAGTTGATTCATTATTGTTCTTCACTCCTTTCAGTGTTGTGTGTATGATTTTACATTGCGTTATATCATGGTTCTGACTGAATTCTGTCGATCAAGGTGCAATACTGTCAATAAGCTAAATCAGTTAGCATGTTGATCTTCTGTTTGATAATGGATGGTTAAAATAGGTTTCGTGTTAATCAGTAGTTGTCAGGCAAGAGATATCAGTCAGTCAGTAACAACGTAGAACTTAGTACGTACGTAAATCAGTTCGAGTTGCCACACCACCTTAACACAGAGGTGCAGTTGTCGATCCAAATCCCGTAGTGGTAGAGGTAGCAAGAGTGTCAGCAGTGATCGGGAAGATTAGGGTTTGGAGATGTTATTTAAAGAGTATAATTCAGTGAAATAAATTTGGAAAGAGGAAAAAAGGGACATGAAGAATTCAGAAGATTAGAATTTGGGAGAACACAAAGAGTGGATGCACCTGCGCCATTGCAAACGATTTTGAGCCATGTCATTCAGGGTCTCTAACCATCGGTTGCTATCATCTCGCCGTCCCCAACCAGGTAGTCTACACCTATCAACATGACTCAGACCACTTGTCAGTGACTTCATGGACTTGTGCCATGTTTTGGTCTGGCCGCCCCTAGCTTTCTTCCAATCTACTCCCATACCACTGAACATCGCACGTCGAGGCAGTCGGTGGTTGGGCATACGTAACACGTGTCCCAGCTATCTCAACTGATGAAGTTTCACCACTTCATCAATTGATTTGCCATCCTTACCTAGTACCTGTTTCCTAAAAACTGCGTTACTTACTCGATGGTCCCATGATATACGAGCAATGTTTCGAAGACACCT